TCTCGAAATTGTTTCACTTTATTATTTTAGGTTAAATTAACAACACATTGAGTAGGAGCAGTGACGACTTATAGAAATGATTAAAAATAACTCAAATTGAGTTTAATTTGACTATGAATTTAACAGTGTACGACAACTAGAATATCGACGATCGTATAGTGAATGGACGTAAAAGCGAGTCCGGAATAAGGTCGGAGATGCACGGAGGGGATCTTTTACGAACCTTTTATAAATTTTTTGCCGCAAAAGAAATTTTATTAAAGCAATTTGCGAGGCCTGTAAATCATCGTAATGGAACGTCAACCGAGCAACCTGATATTGACAATCGCTGGAAGGTTTATGGTCTTACGGTCGTCATTTGTCGGCGCAGTCTGCAGGTTACAGCCCCATCAATGAGATATTACGATTATCATTACCCGATCCTAGGGAGACCCGCTTATACGACCGCGTCATGAAGCATTAGAGTCGTATAATTCTTACTCTGTTTGCCGCCGATTATCGGGATCGATTCTGGGAATAATACCCTGGCCGCTTTGTCCACCCAATTAGCTTCACGCCCGTGCTACACGTGAATCTACATGTGTCTATACGTAATGTAGAGCGGGACGCACAGAGGCGTGCAAACGACACTCGATCGTAATTACTCGGACATGTGTACCGGACACATGCGAGAGAGTAAATCTAGAAATTACGCCGAATGATCGCGGATTATTTTGACGCAGTCAACACGCAGATCATAAAGCCATTATTATGATTATTATTATCACCTGTGTGGCCGTATTATAAACAGATGATGGCAATATTTGTTATTCAATTTTGACGGATACCTTTATTTCTGCCATTTAAATAGACTTTGATGTATAATTTTGCGGAGTAGACATGGAGTAAAAACTTACTGGAGTAAAATTTTTTTACTGCCGACTTGTTCGTTATCGAGGAGACTGTTTCTCTGTGTTAGAGACGTTGAAGCTTTTATACGTGAGGGCACGTAAGATCCTATGTATAGGGATCGTCAGGAAATATTCCCGAAAGAGAGCTCCATTTTTCGTGACGGCGATATCGTATCTCTACGTTTTTCGCTCGTGGCGTTGCAGCATCCGTCAAAGAAATGCAGTTCGATCGGGGACACGTGTATTTATTCGCGATATATTTTCTCCTTATCGCGGTTTGCCCACGGAAAAATGACATTTCTCTTGTTTCCTTCCCGCTCCCCTCTCTCTTTCTCTTTCTTTCTTTATCTGTCTTTCTTGTCTCTCGCTCGTTTATTCCGTCCTTTTGCTTTAACCGTCCGCGTCGTAGCGGAAAATCCTTTAACGTAGAGGTACCATAACTGAACTTCTTTTTTTAATAAACGAATAAACTTTTTTTTCAAGCTACTCGTAGTAATTAAAAATTAATGCAGCTGCGCGTCGCACAAATTCCGCGTTCGCGCAAAGTTTCTTCCGCCGGCGAAAAAGCCTTGCTTTATTCCCGTGTGCGAGATGGAAAATTATTTAAGTAGGCTAAAGAATGGCGAAAGCGGAGATATAATGCGATTTTAACTATTTCATACGTAATTGTACATCGCGGAGTCAATGTTAATTCTTTTTTTTTTTTTTTAGCGAATTGCAACGGTTATTGCGCGCGTAAACACATTCGCGTAAAGACGCGTTTCTGTTTTAGTATTAACTTGAAGTGAATTATTGAGATTCGATTACGGGTATATATTGAATAACGATATTGAGCTCTTAACATATCGTGCGATATTAATATCGACATTTGAATAGCCAGGGGGGTGCCTAAGCCACACAATATCCAATATTCCATTTAAATAATGAAGATGTGAGTCTAACTCCTGTCCGTTCAAATGCACGAAATATCAGAAGGGTATAGGAAAATATAGAAGGAGCGTCAAAGATATGCATTGGTGGAAAAGTAATGCATAGAAATATTATAGCCTATGGCAGAGAGTCGACTGCTCATCTCTCTTTCGTGGCTCGTGACGTGGTTTTGCGACGCGCCGCGCTTCATCGAAGAAGCGAAAACGCGGCATTCCGCGCGTCAAAATTCATCTCTCGATCACGTCACTCTCGCGGGAACGAAGATCCCGACATCGCCACGGATCACGCTAAAACTCCGACGGAGTTATCCCCGAGAGTCGTCATAGGCGCGGAATTCACGAGTACAAAACTGCGGTTCCGCGAGCAATATTACAAGATGATATCAGGTACGAGAACGCGGATGTGACGCGGGAAGGGAAGAGAAGACGACGCGAGGGACCGAGATAAGGGGATCAACGTAATATAACTAAGTTAACAGACAGTCAAGAAGCACATCCCACAATAACCGAGACACACGGCCCTCGGCTTTTCCCCTCGGATGCGTCAGTCGCCTGTATTATTTTACTTCTCTCTTTCTCTCTCTCTCTCTCTCTCTCTCTCTCTCTCTCTCTCTCGCTCTCTCTCTCCCGCGACTATCTTCGACCATATTTACTTCTTCCGACACGTACGCAGAGGAGCCTTGGCATTGCATCGCACGCGAAACCATCGACCTACTTCGCGTAGTCCTATTGCTCGTCGTCTCTCTGTGCCATTTCTACATTTTTCCGTTACGTTACACTGCCGATAAAATCCAGCGGAAATCGCGCGTGATAAGGTGCGGTGATTTAGTTTAGACCTTGGGATGGGACAATGCTTTTCTAATGGTAAAATTTATTCGCCGATAAAACCATCGTTGAACGTTAAAGGATGAGTATTCACGTTGATGAAACGTTAATAAACAGCATTCAATCATCTACCGTTCATCAATTTCTACTAGTATAATATCCGCTTAATGACGACAAGTTGGACTTTCGACGATCAAAAGTAATCGAAGATCGTCAACTTTGTTAGTGAAAAATTAATATCGCTCTCTGTCCAATCGAAAAGTTCGATTATCTTGCCCTTAGAGGGGCATGATGGTGCATTTTCGATGTAAGTAAGATTATACACTATACAGTCATGCTAAGGATAACTCAATTTTCCAGCCATTAGGCGCGTACCCGCGCTGCGCTATGAATATTTCTAAATATATATTTCCGACGTCACACGGTGTAATTATAAAAAGTATCGAACGGCCAGGATCCCACAGATTTAGCCTTTAATTCGCGGAACGAACGGGCGATCCCGGGAAACTGCTGACTATAAGGACGACTATAAATGCACCGGCCAAGAGCTATCGCCTTGTTTACGTTCGTCGCGTAATGTCCATCGCGTAACGTTATTGTATACTGGCGACGACTTGTTCGCCCGTTTCGCAAGTAGATTAAGAGCGAAATTTGCGGCTCTGATATGTCACGCTGAAGCTTCTCAAGTAGACGGGGATAAGAGGAGCCCTCTCTCATGACTATCAAGTGAGGAGCATGCCCGCCTTCTCGTCGATGCGACGTAAGAATGATTGCATAATCCGCTTCGCCATCCTCCTAATTCTTCCTTCCCAGCTTCATCCTTTCGATCATCCTGCCCAGATTTGCCTCATTAATAAGAAAAATTGCATGCTTAAATGTTGTGATTGTAACAGTTGCTCTAAAAAGCTTTTTTTAGAAAACAATTTTTCAGGAAACAATTTTTACGTAAATTTATGAGACAGCAATATTTATCCGTATATCTTTATTAGAGATTTCACACCATTTGTATCATTCGATCATATTCATTGTTCAATATTTTGCAACGATAACTTAAAATTTAAAGAAGAAAAATGTATCGCTCTTACTCGAATTTGTGTCTGAAAAATGTTGACGAGTCTTTCGTTTTTATAGCTTGTAGCCCGTGTTTTTTTTTTAAGAGAGAATTGACTCCTCTGGGAAAACAATTAATCAATCAAAGCGCGGCGAATTCTGTATTCGAGTATTGCGGCTCCTTCGTGCTGGATAAGAAATATCTCTCTGTTGGAATGAACATCTTGATGGAATACCAAGAGAGGGTCGAGATTCGCTGAGAGAGACGAATGGGCCGAGAGGCAGGAGCTCTCCTCGCGAGACCGACTCTGAATTCGCATTGATAAAAATTCTGTCAGGTCGATTAACGATCGTACGTGCCAGTTGGAACGTTGCCATTTGTATCGCGGGGATGCTACTATTGGGAGTTAGCCCTTTAACGGTATCGCAATGTCGTTAGATCCTCGCCAGTACCCCCGGCTTTCTTCTCGCGTATGAAATACGTGGGAGGAAAGCGAATGTGGAGAAATGAAATACGGCCGAGTAACGTAAGCGAAATCATGCGAAATATAATGAATTTGTTTTTTAAATGTTGAAAAAAAAAATCCTTTAATTGAAAATTCCCTTGAACGCCGAGCATAAGCGAGAACGCGTTGACGTTTTTATGCTTAAATACTTTTTAAATATTTATTAAGTTTTATCGATTTTAAGTTCTATTTACATTTTTTGCGAGCATATAATGTCTTGACAATTAATATTTAACCATCATAAAAGTAGCCGTGGTGTCATATTGGCTATCCAGCAGGCAGTTGTAAATGTTATGACTCTCTCTAAGTACCTTAAGAGGTTTAAGTATCTCATAAACGACCATCTCATTAGTTCAATTGTCACTGCAGATTTCCACGCGGTAATATACATGTCTCGTAGTATATATGTCACGGAATACCAAGTGTTTAATTATGTAATGTTTAGCAGCATATAGATCATTGTGAGAACACATTCATTAACGCGGTGTCCAAATTCTTCGCGAAACGTACGAATGAACAAGAAATTGGAATCGATAGAAAATATATGGAGAATTATGACGAAACTTAATTATTAAATTGGCGATTCTTAAATTTTTTTTCCCTATGTACAATTTTTCGCAAAAATGGCGCTAATTTTCTGGAGAACATCCTTAACTATTAACCATTATGTCGTTAACAATGAAAACAGCAAGGTATATTTTACCGGATAGATAGCTGATGATAATTCCCCTTTTAAAAAATTTCAGAAATCCAGACAAAACCAGGGAATAATTAATTACCTGTACGTTTCTTGCTTTCAGGCGATGGAGGCGGCGCAGGCGGAGATGGCGATCCCATTGTCAGCACCAATTCCGAGAAGAAGTCAGGATATGAGACCAATCTGTATCTCTACAGTGTGAGTACAACAAAAGTTTTGGCGAATTAGATCTTATTTCGCAAAGAGTCGTATCTTCCAACGTGCACTGACAATGAGAGAAAAGCTTTGGTATTTGCAACTATTGTATGGTAAAATAAAAATGGTTAAGAGTCCCATTTTTATAGTTGCTATTCCTATAATTTTAGTAATAATAATTATATTTATAGTTCTACCAAACAAATGTATAGTTGGCGCTCAAAGTAATTTACATTATAATCAAATTATGGTAATTGCAACCATTTTTTTTCTCTCAGTGTGCTTATTTACCCTATAAAACGAACGCATCTCGGAAAAAGAAAAACTTCTTGCTTTATCGGAAAAGTAAGAAAATGAGAAAACGCATAACCCGATTTGTTATAACTTTTGATGTCTACGTCGTTTTCATTAATCATTTTCTTAGCCGCTGGATTCTTCGAAGGAATTATCTACTTCGGTGCATGTAGTAAAATCATCACTGCAGTATTAATTATCATACTGTGTTGTAAAAACCGCGGCTTACAACGGAACTATCTTGCTAAAGATTATCCATAAAGTTATAATAAGAAAATCAGACGTTTCTTCATTATAAAGTTACGAATTTATATCTTTATACGAAAGCTTATCAGCTCCGCAGTTCCCTCAATAATGTCCTGCATTTTGGAGCTCTGAGGAAACAGGATGGAATTTTGCGACCGCTAAGAATCCTCTTCTGAATTGCAGTTCTTTCATAATAGAAAGTTAAGCCGCGTACTTTGGGGCTAAGTCTCTCCTCCCTTCATCCGCTCTCTCTCTCTCTCTCTCTCTCTCTTTCTCTTGTCATCGTTTCCCCCTTGTAGTTTTAACGAAGAACTCCACTACTTTTCCTAACCGTAAGAGAGCTGCCGGGAGCTTCCGACCGGCCCAGTTTCCTTATCTGCTTGGTTCCGTTTAAAATTGCGAGCCATTATCGGGCTATGAATCTCGCGCGCGCGAGGCGAGTATTGTACCCCGTTTCTTTCGAATCCGATAATTCGCTCCGGGTGACTTTAACCCTCTCAGCACTCTCATATTTCTCGTTCGACTCGATCGAACACCGCAATTGAAGATAAACTTGAGTGGTGTACAAGTAATAGCCGTATATTTTTATCGCGCGTGTGAATTTCGTTGAAATAAATCCGGACAAAGAAAATTACAGTACTATCCTTAAAAAAAAGAGAGAGGAATAGGATAGAGAGCGATTTCGAAGGACAGTTTAGACTTGTATTTGCATAGCAATTATTCTGTTCATTTTACCAACCTGAGGTTTTATCGAAATCACGGAGAAAGAGGAAAGAGAGACTTTATGGATTTTATTTGTTAGATCATAGCTTCAGTTGAAAAACGATATAACTATCTATCATCGAATAGCGGACATGCGAAAATAAAAGAAGAAATAAAAGAAAGTCACGTAAAGGGATTAGAGATAAGACGGGAGAAATGCGTTGTGCAATTTCTTGAAGAAAATCGCTGTCTGGGATATCTTTTTAACTCGTGTTTCTTTTTCATCGCGTACATTTGATATAGAGAAATCCGTGTTTTCTGTGCGATATGCCGAACGGAAATGTCCGATGTGAAAAGTAGTCGTCGTGAAATTAGATCGACAACGTGTAATACTGTTGTAACGAGGTTGCAGCGCGAGAACTTACATGACAAAGGGCTAACAATTTCCATAAAAGCGTCCCGATGGACGGAGTTACGTGACACTTTCCCGCAAAAGTTTGTCAATAAAATTGCAAATGAGGTCGCGACGTGTCCCTTTCGGCATAATAAGGAATCTTATATCGGGGAGGAAATTCCAGGATCGCGCGCGACGGACACACGAGGGTCGCGCAACCGCCCGTCGTGCCGTAGGAATGCGAACGAAGCCAGTGATAAGAGTCGATGACTGGTCGGACGAATCGTTTATCTCGGGATTGTTTCGCATTCTCCGTCCGATAACGCGAGGTCTGTACGCAACCAGATGGAAATAGAAAAAGTCTCTATCCATCTATCTATATATATAGCCGGATAAAAGTAGCAAAGTTTGTACGTGCACGTACGGAAGTAGCGAGAGTCTATACGTGATCAGACGGCCGCAGCTTGTAAATATCAAGTTTCCCCTTAAATTTCGGGCGAAATGTTGGAGCTGTCGATTCCAACGGAACATAAAAGTCGAAAAGTCGCATTATGGTTCTTCACGGAGAGCAGTTCTCCTTGATTGAAATATCGCACTCCCTGAGAAATTACAGCAGAAGAAAAATGTTCAGAGTGAAAAATCATTATATCTCGCCTCCGAAAATCCCGTAACGCGACCGACCGGCAGAAAAAAATCGAGATGAATCCTTGCAGGAGGAGATGGAGGATCGGCCGCGGATCTCGACGTTGCTCAACAGCTTGGCCAACTATAGCAACACCATCCCTGCGGCGACCGACCCGGACAAACCAGCTCCGCCCACGGGGGGTGGTGCACGGATGGGTACTCTCATAGGTGTCTACTTGCCGTGTATCCAGAACATCTTCGGCGTGATCCTCTTTATCCGGCTGACATGGGTAGTCGGCACCGCCGGCGCCATACAGGGTTTCTTGATTGTGCTCATCTGCTGTTGCGTTGTGAGTGTTTATCTACGGAACTGTAAGAGCGAAATCAAAATTTCAAGCGTACATTGTGCATACGTAAAAATATGAAGATTCGAAGACACGACTACGAATATACGAAGTTCAAAAGTAACTTTTAACAGCGCATCTTTAAAAATAAAATATTAAAATAGAGAGAAGAGACAATAGACGAGATTTATCAATGCCAGATTTTTTTTTTAATTAATCTGAAAAATCGATTTCTAGTCGAGACATTGGAGGCAATTAGTATTTGAGAATTTTTAACGAAAATACGAATAGCTTCTCGTGAATTAAACTTCGGGGTAGGTATATAGATCGGTCGCAAACAGCTATTCTTCGTGTGCGCAGACGATGCTGACGGCGATCAGTATGAGTGCCATCGCCACCAACGGCGTAGTGCCGGCCGGTGGTTCCTACTTTATGATCTCGAGGAGCTTGGGCCCGGAATTCGGCGGCGCGGTGGGTATGTTGTTTTACACCGGTACCACCCTGGCCGCCGCGATGTACATCATCGGCGCCGTCGAGATCGTTCTCGTGAGTATCGACTAAAACACGACGTTACATCAACCATAGTCCCTCCCCCCTTCCCTTCCATTCCTAATCAATTGATCGCGATAATTGACTTATACTTTGAAATAGAAGTGAAAATATCGCGGTGTTTCATAACCATTACGTCAAAATTAATTAAGGATTATCACGCTTTGATTAATTACACTTGCAAAGTATGTACGTAAAGGATACGATGTTAATTGTACGTGAAATATTACGGCAGATTTTCGCACAATTCCCGTAAAGTTTGCGCCAGACTACACGCGATATTCGTGGTTTGAAATTCGAAGTTAGTTATTCGTGTGAGGTTTGTGCATTGAGGCTCGCATTCGTTTGTCATTCGTGCCAGTTTGTTAGCGAAGCGAAATTTGACGAAATCAAAGGGCGCGAATCACCGTGAATCGCGCGTAGTCCGTGACTCATGCTTAACGATTCGAAGAAACGTTGCTTTCCCTGACTTTACGATATTTCTACTTAATAGACCTACATGGCACCGTCGCTCAGCATATTCGGCGACTTCACGAAAGACGCCAACATCATGTACAACAACTTCCGAGTATACGGCACCATGTTGCTGATGGTAATGGGTACGATTGTCTTTGTGGGCGTGAAGTTCGTTAACAAGTTCGCCACCGTCGCACTGGCCTGCGTTATTTTATCCATCGTCGCTGTTTACGTGGGGCTCTTCGTCAACGTCAACGGCAACGAGTCTCTAAAGTACTAAACTAATTTACGACACTAATTTTCGCATTATGTAGCCGCATACTATCGGAATACCGTCGTGATTATAAAGCTGCGACGATAAGTGGTATAATTGGGCGGATAATTATCGCGAAAAAAAAAATGAACGAAGAAACCGAAGGAAGATGGAACGCTTTAAAGAAGAGAGACTTTGTATTTTAGATTGTGCGTGCTCGGCAGAAGGCTGTTAAAGGACATCGACGTTTTAACTGACTGCAATAAACATCCCGGTGGTGTTTTGGAAAAAATTTACTGCAACGGCACGACGCGAGGTGCGAGATGCGATTCGTATTATTCTGAGAATAACGCTACCATCATCAACGGTATCCGCGGCTTGGCCAGCGGCGTGTTTCTAGGTGAGCGATTATAATTTAATTGTAATATAATATATTTTAATTAATTATAATATATTATAATATATAACTTAATAATTATTATATATAATTTAATTATATAACTGAAGACAATATAACATCAATGAACGTAACAATGAAATTTATAAAATGTAAATATAAAATGCATTCTCTCTTTTCTGCTACGTAGAGAACATTTGGGACCGTTTCCAAGAGGAGTCTCAGTTAATCTCTTACGGAAGTGACCCGAAGGACATGGACGTTCTGTCGGGATCGAGCTTTAATCAAGTCCAAGTCGATCTCACCACGACTTTCACTATTCTCATCGGCATATTCTTTCCTTCCGTGACGGGTAAGCGAACGGACATTAACAGCAACATTATATTCATTTATCCGTTAACGACACGAGTCTTATATCAATACTCTTAATTAACAATTTTTATTTAAACGATATCTTAATTGAAATAATTATTTCAATTAAATACGATGCAATAAAAAAATCAACGACACTAATGTGCAGGTATTATGGCGGGCTCCAACCGATCTGGTGACTTGGCTGACGCTCAGAAATCCATTCCGATCGGCACAATCTGCGCGATCCTGACGACCTCCACCGTATATCTGTCCAGCGTCCTCCTATTCGCCGGAACCGTTGATAATCTATTGCTACGCGATAAGTTCGGTCAGAGTATCGGTGGCAAGCTGGTAGTGGCGAATATGGCGTGGCCGAATCAGTGGGTGATCCTGATCGGCTCGTTCCTGTCCACCCTGGGCGCCGGCCTGCAATCCTTGACGGGAGCGCCGCGACTGCTGCAGGCAATCGCCAAGGACGGCATCATTCCCTTCCTCACGCCATTCGCCACCAGTTCGAGTCGAGGCGAACCTACGCGTGCTTTGGTGCTCACTGTGTTGATCTGTCAGGGTGGTATCCTGCTCGGCAACGTGGACTACCTGGCGCCGTTGCTGTCCATGTTCTTCCTCATGTGCTACGGTTTCGTCAACCTCGCCTGCGCCCTGCAAACCCTACTGCGCACGCCGAACTGGAGGCCGCGATTCAAATACTACCACTGGAGCCTGTCGGTCCTCGGCCTGTCGCTCTGCATCGCCGTCATGTTCATGACCAGCTGGTACTACGCACTGGTGGCGATGGGTATGGCCGGCTGTATCTACAAGTACATCGAATATCGCGGCGCCGAGAAGGAATGGGGCGACGGTATCCGCGGTCTGGCGCTGTCCGCCGCCAGGTACTCACTGCTCAGGCTCGAGGAAGGTCCGCCGCACACGAAGAACTGGCGTCCGCAGATCCTGATCCTCGCGAAACTTACCGACGACCTGGTGCCTAAGTATCGCAAGCTCTTCGCCTTTGCCAGTCAGCTCAAGGCCGGCAAGGGGCTCACTATTAGCGTCAGCTGCATCCCCGGTGACTACACGCAGAACTCGGGGGAGGCGCTGGCGGCCAAGCAGAGTCTCAAGAAGACTGCGGCGGAAGAGAAGGTGAAGGGCTTCGTCGACGTTCTCGTTGCGAAGAACGTCGTCGAGGGGCTGAGCTCGCTGATACAAAATACCGGACTCGGCGGACTGAAACCGAATACGGTGATATTGGGTTGGCCGTACGGCTGGCGGCAGTCGGAAGAGGAGAGAACCTGGCGAGTCTTTCTGCAAACCGTAAGGAGCGTCGCGGCCGCGAAAATGGCACTACTGGTGCCCAAAGGCATAAACTTCTTCCCGGATTCGAGCGAGAAGATAATCGGCAACATTGACGTCTGGTGGATCGTGCACGACGGCGGCCTATTAATGTTACTGCCGTTCCTACTGAAGCAACAGCGCACCTGGAAGAACTGCAAGATGAGGATCTTCACGGTCGCGCAGATGGAGGACAACTCAATACAGATGAAAAAGGATCTGAAGAAGTTCCTGTACGACCTGAGGATCGAGGCGGAAGTCGAGATTGTCGAAATGGTAATATCCGATACTACAGTAATTTTGATATAACGAAAACATTGAATTCTTTAGAAAATTTTATTTCGTGAAAATAGATAAAAATGTTTAACGAGGAAAAATGATATCGCGATTACTTCGGTAGATTCATATTCCGCGTCTTGACCTGTTCGCAGACGAACACCGACATCTCCGCGTACACGTACGAACGCACTTTGATCATGGAGCAAAGAAACCAGATGCTACGCGAGTTACAACTGAACAAGAAGCAATCACTGGGAGTGGTAAGTGTTGAATTCTGAATAAAGGGGGCGGGGGGGAATTGATTATAGTAATATATACAGGCATATAATTGTTAAGTAACAACAAATGGTGACGGTGATACTGATCGGTGTGTGTCTGTTTGTTGCGTGCTCTTCACGGATAAAGGTGCAGACATTGGTGGACTTCAACGAGGTACCCGCCGAGGAAAAATTACCTCTGGTTTGTCAGATTACCCCCCGGAGTTCCATGTATGCCTACCTCCCGTCATTCGCTCCATTGCACCGACAATTTTATATTGTGTACTCCTTCCCCGCAATATCACGTATAACAATCTCACTCCTACTCCCATTTAATATTTCAGTGGGAGAAACTACCGCGGGGAATCGCAAGTTAATATTTTATAAGTACACTCTGAGATTACGAAACTTCAAATTACAAACGTTACATCATAAAAATTGAAAACTAGCAAAACTTTGATTTCTAAAATAATAAAGAATATAGCGTTCTGTGAAAATAAATCATAAAAGGCTTGTACATTAACAATTTTCCGCTTGAATTTCAACTTCAAACTTTCAAAATTCAAGATTAATTTGAGAAAAGATTCTTAGATATTGTGCTATATTATTTAGCGACCATGCGCCGGTTTGTTTCTTCCTGTCCATCATGATCTGAGGAACTCCCCGCGTCTCTCAGTTTCGGCTTCATTGGCACGATCGCTTATATAGATAGTATTGATTTGATGGCCATAGCGCTTTAATGCTAGATTATTAGTCACCTCTCGACCGACTGTCTCCTACTGCACAGGCTGAAGATGCTCGCTTATTCGCTCAATCGCGTTATCATTATACCAGGTACAGGCGATCGTAGATCACCATCACAACGTGGACGCCAAAGTGCCGACGAAGGTGAGATTCCAGGAACCGGGTAACCAGAGTACAAACGTGACCGACGACACGAAGCTGATGCAGGAAACCGATTTAAATAACAAGGAGCTGGACGCTGCCGAGGAAGCAAATGAAAAGGAGGAGGCTAAGGAGAATAATGACGAGGAGACAAAGTTGATTGGCGGCTCGCCTAAGGCGGAAAATAAAGAGAACACGGAGAAGGATGCAAAGGAGGCGGAGGCCGAGAATGAAGCGCAAGAAAACAAAAGTCAAAGTCCGGAGGTTAAGAAACCCACGATTACACCGTGAGTGTCGCGATCATCTTTCTTGACTTTGACGTCAAATTTGCTTTTTAACAAACAATAGAATGATATATAATAATAATAATAATAATAATTTTGTAACAGCGACGAGGGTGACGTGAGGCGTATGCATACCTCGCTGAAGCTGAACGAGGTAATCCGTAAAATGAGCAGCGAGGCTCAGCTGGTCATCCTGAATCTTCCTGGACCGCCCCGGGACACGAAGATGGAACGTGAATCTAACTGTATCCTTTCGATCGTCGTGAAAAAAATATATCATTTATAAAAAAATTTATTAGCTTTTACTACAAAGATATGAATTGCTAGCTATAATCAATATAATAAGTAAAAAGTTTTTAGAGTAAATTTTAGAGTAAAAAATTAGCGGTAGATTTTCGGAAAAATATGGTTAAAAAAAAATGAAAGAGACCGAATTAAACTTCCTTGACTGCCGAAAATCAGATATGGAATTCCTCGAGGTGCTCACCGAAGGCTTGGAGAGGGTACTGATGGTGCGGGGTAGCGGACGGGAGGTGATCACCATCTACTCGTGAACTGAAGCGACGGGAATTAACGCCGTTGCCTTGCGGGAGCAGAGCTCTAGTTTACTTCTCAGTGACCTAAACGACACTACCCTAAGGAACATACTGCTCTTGTGCCATTGTCTGCGCAGTCGCTTGCAGTCGCGCGTTCTGAAAGTCGTTGAGGCGAAGAGGATGAGACGACGATCGTTCATACTCGAACACGGAAGACGAAGTTTCACCGAAGCCGATTTTTACGTGGACCGCGGCGACCGATCGTCCGATGATGAAGCCAAAAGCGATGATGCCAAAGGATAGGTTTTTCTTTGAATGAATTTCTGAAACGTAGAACGTGCGGAGGGTTTATGTGTCAGGTACGCGTCAAAGGGGGTCGCATACGAAGCGTAGCGAGGGCTGCTCAGATTCGAATTCGACAACTTTTATCGAGCTCGGCCGAGCTCGCCGGACAAAGCACAGACTGGTGCACCTCTCGGAAATCGCCAGTACAAACAAACAAAAAACTGTAGCTCAATAAGACGAGTCCCGAGTAAACGTCACTTTGATTCAATTTCTTGCAAAACTGATAGCTAAAAATCACGTCTAATCACGAAGGAGAGAATTAGAGTAAGAGAGAATGGCAAAAGAACGGGGGGAGGGAAAAAAATCAAAATTTGGTCCGAGGCTAAGGTCGAAGCATCTACGAAACCACTGCCAGACTACTTTCTAAATGCTTCGCGTTTAACCAAAGACGCGAGAGGCTCATTTTTCTACATGCATTGTCGTTAATAGGGAAAAGAATAAGAGTAGTAGGTACGTATATAATTTTATTGCTTGATATAGGTGAATCTAGAGTAGCCTAGGATAGTGCCGACTTTTATTATAATTATATATATATATATGTGTGTGTGTATTTGATAATAGAAAAACGACGAGTATGTCGCGAGTATTACTGCATTTCCTTCGGGGATCGAGAAGTGATCCCGCTCTCTTTTCCAATCTCGCGTGGTAAATCTTTACGTACATACACACACACGCACACGCAAGGGACATATGTACAAGACACACATTCGTACACACACATTCGCGCGCGTTTGTATCGTCTTTAAGGCCTACTGGTCCAAGATGCCACTACCATTTAATCGATAACACCAAGTGAAGTTGAATCGTGACGCAAGGAGTGCAACCTGAAAGACTCAATGCCAAAATGCGCGGCGATCCTTTACCGAATTTCATCGAAAAGAAAAACAAATATATATATATATATGTATATATATATATATATATATATTATATATAGCGCTATAGCGTATGTAAAGTAAATTCTAATCGCATTAAATGTCGTCGTGTGCATGTCACATTTCGCGCGTAGCCCCGTTTCCGGCCGCGCTTCATTTAGATAGGCCTTCTCTGGATATACCTGATTAATCAGCGAGCGCGAAATGATCACGCCGGCGGTCGCAATTCTCAGTTCCTTCGACACATTAGCCGACAAATCGACGCGTTTTATTAAATTATCTCGAGACTGCGGTGAATTTAATTCTTCGCCAGTGTTAAGAAAGAAGAGATCAGTCTGATTTAAGTCGTTGTCTCGTCTCTGAAACAGCTGGAATTGATTTTAATTTTTATATTATCTGACGATTAATTACCTTTTAGCGCTGACGAGTAAAATCGAGTAATTTTATTTGAAACGCTTTTATTCCTAAAACGATTAAATTTTATTTTAATTTTTTAACTATCAGAGCGACCCTAAATTCTATTTATTCTATTGATTCGTTTGAGATTCAGTTTCTTTGGGCTTTCGTTCACGAGCGAAAATCTCAACGAAGAGACTGAGGAAGAGACAGCCGCGGGACTAGCGTTCAATGTAATATTTATCGATACTTAATACTACTTAATCAGTGTCCGTGAATAAGTTACATTGTGCTAAGGATTTACGCATGATTTACGCACCACGACTTGTCAGATTTCTGCCAGTCAAGAAAAAAAATTTTTGCAACTAACGATCGAAGTGATAAAAACGGTCGTCTTGACCGTGTATAGGACGTGCCGAAACTATCGCATCTTTTCTCAATCGCGGATATTAAAATGATTGTTTCAAAATTATAAAATTGATAACTCTCAAAATAGCTTCAACTCGCAGAGTTCAGGCAAGTTTAATTTTGAGAGTTTATGCAGATAACGATTGTTTAATTTTTTGATTTTACTAAATTTTTCATTATAAAATATATCGAATGAGCTGAAGCTCCATGTTAAAAATTTAAAATCTTGCAATATACAATGAATTGAATTCTTATCTCGTATTTTCGCTGGAGGGAAAATCTGATGTCATTTTGGGATGAAATAAAAGCGCGGTGGTTTCGGGTGCATTCTCATACATGTATATATATATATGTATATGTACATTCACATTGTTCATTGTAAAGTACATGCACTATCTTGCAATACCTGTAGCTAGCGAAAAAGAAGAGAAGAGGAGGAGGGACGTGAAAACGTTGATTATACCATATGAAAGTGTATCGGATTTAAAAAAATCGGGTGAGCGCGCGAACCGTTATCGCCGCCGAACCCGTTAGCGTAGCGACAAAGAAGAATATTTACATTAACGGAGGGGGGGAAGAGATTCCTATATATATATATATATCCCACGCGTTAAATTGTTTCACTTTTGTCCTCGTAGACTCCGACGCGGATTCGAATTGTGTCGGAGTGCCCTGAAGCGAGAGGAGAGAAAGAACGAGAGTAAAAGCGGCGTCGTATCAACGGGGAGGAATATTTCACGATTTGATCCTTGTCTCATAGCGAAGAGCTCGTCTCTCAACACCAATTCGACGGAATATATGCAAGCAATATATATAATGTCGGTGTGAAGATTCAAGATACATATATATATATATATATATATATATATATATATATATATCTTCACACCGACATTTGCATCACGACAGAGGTATCGGAAGTGGGTACATAGAGACTCTAAATATATAGGAAACACAATACACATACGTTATTATCTTCCTCTCTCCCTACACACACACACACACACACACACACACACACACATACACACACATATATATATATATATATACATATATATATATGCACGTACATCTTTCTCTCTCTCTCGTCCACGATGTTTACGACACGTAACTTTATTAATTTTATTACGTTACTTATCGATTGCATATATTTTATGTACTTATCTTACTCGATAGGTATTGGCACTGCATAGTTTATATATTACGAGACATGTTGACGTTGTGAGAAAGTTTATTGCGAGTACATAAGAACGAGTTGCCGGACAAATCGCTACACACACGTTGTACATAAACATAAGTAGGTAAAAAGAAGGAAAAACGATCGCGTGCTTATCGTAAAGAGGATTTAAAAGAGGGATACAAAGAGGGCAGGAGAGAATAGAAAGTGAGGCAACGCGAGGATTTCTTTACACAGAATCGAACAGTATTGCAGTGCTCTGCTGCCGCTTTAATATTTTACTATGTCGTTTACTTTAAATGCACAATGACCATATGGCACACAAACGTACGCGTATGTGTGATATATATAATATATATATATATATATAGAGTACATATATATATATATTTGGCCGGCGAGAATGAAAATGGTGCGAGGCCAAAAATTAGAGAAAACTTTGAGCCGGGACGGACTTGGCCACGCCGCGATCCTTCGCTCTCCCTATAGTTTAATAGCGAAATTCGATATAGAGTATATAAAAGACGACTCACACACCGCTTTCATTCTATTCGGCTGATAGTGCGTGTTATCGGCAGCGGCCGGAGATGCGCCCGGCGGCCCGGCGATTCACGTCCGTTTCGCGGAAACAGAATAATACTTGGGACTTAGCGTTCCGGATACTCCGTATCTCCATTTCTTGTAATTGCATTTCGTTAGAAGATAGATCGCAAAAGACTGAACGAGCGAGCTGTGTGGCGGAAGACACAGTGAAACACACACACACATACACACACGTATTGCGAATACCAATTGTGAATAGATAAAGAAAAAATGCGCACAATACTTTGGCTATAAAGGAGTTTCCACTGCTGCAAAATAGAAGATAAGATATAGCTGTTTGAGGCGTGGCGAGAGTGTCGTATCGCGAATGCATATACCCGTTCCGTCTTATCCGTTTGATCAAGACGGAGAATATCTGAATATCGTTGGAGATATTGTTCTGTTTCTGCAGCATATTTCGAGCAGCGATGCGAAGCGCGAGAATGTCCTTCCTTCCGGAAAAACGCAAGATTACATTCGACGATCGAAGATCCGAGATCGATCGCGAGATATTCTCGTCTTCGCGAGAACGTTCCGAAACGATGTTCCCAAAGGACTCTCCGAAGAATATCCTTCGGAGAAGCCTGTCCGAATATTCCCGGAGCACTTATCTCTCCCTTATAAAAATTTAATATTGGACTAGAAAAATGTCGAATAATTATTTACTTTGGATATTAAAAGCGCTAGCAAGCTTTTGATACTCAAAATAAGTAATTATTTGGCACTTCCAATATTAAACTTTTTTTTTAAACGCGGTAAGAAGTTCTTCTGCGAGAAATATTTTCGTCGCACCTTCGGACCGTGAATCGCGGGCGGCGGAGGTACGTTGTCGGCCGTTAACGAGTTAGTAAATACCTGCGGGCTTGGCATTTGTCGGGGTATATAGCGGCGGCGTTTTGCGGCGCGTTCCATTTAAAATGGGGCCGCGCGCTCTGGATCTTTAAATCACCTCTAGGCTGTGAGATGCGAGCTAAGCAGCGGACAAAACTTGCTCGAAACCTCAATCATATGTGTCAAATCAAGTATAAATCTACTTTTAACGTATAATATCGTATAACTGATCTATAAAAAAAAAAGAAAAAAAAGAAAGAAAAGAAGGAAAGAAAGAAACCAAAGCTCTCCCGATGGGAGGGGAGTGTACACACACGACTTACTTCTCTCACTCCAGAAACTGGACGACGATTTCTTTCTACCCTTGGGACTCGAATAAAAGAAATATATTTATTGACTCCCACACGGGAAAGAGAAAAGAGAAATGAGATATTGAGATATAAATATATATATATATAGAAAAATAAAAGATGTTATTAAATATACATACAGAGCGGACCTGAGGCGATGAAAGTGACTCGACGAGAGGGACGTGTCCTCGAATTTGAGATAATTCTTTTCTTAACGTCTCTTCGCGTTAAGTATCTTACTTTAAGTTTACTTAAGTTTTAGTACTTTATATTAAAATTAAAAGTAAAATTCAGTTTTAATACTTTGTATTAAAATTAAGGATAAGAATATGTCATATGCTCGAATTGTTGTATTCGTTAAGGAAAATTTGATCCCAAATTTGTCTACGCATCCCTGCTGTATAGATTCCGCCTTTTCTGGTCCACATTATATATATATTATAAATTTATGTATACTATATGTATACAAGGTGTCTGCTTTCTCTTGACAATAGATATCGCAAAAAAAACCGTAGAAAAAAACAGACGAAATTGAGGAAGTGCGTTTGAGAGAGGAACGCGGGAGGCAAAAACTTTGCTGACAAAGATATCCGCGGTTTCGGGAGGATTCAAATGAGAATTATTGCGTATCGATCGCTACAGTTGTATTATCACTTCGTGTGCGACGAAATTGTAACGAAAATTGAACGTACGTCATCGGGTGTACGGGAGCAACTCGTCCACGAATTATTACCGTGCGCGCTTAGTTTTACTTTTAATTAGCCACACTTAAAGCCACACGGCGTCGCGAAACGCCGCTCGTAACTGTCGTTAGGAGGAAGTAAAATACGGTTGCGAGACACCCTGTACACACATACGAGATACGAGATAATATATTTGTAGATACAGATTTTAGTCTCATCTGGATAGTATATAGAGTCAATACTGTGAAAAAAAATGCCTGTAACTTACCTACCTATACCCTCTAGATAATAGATGACACTTATAATTGATTTTCGAAAGATAAAGTATATGAATGAACAAATATACTGCGAGAGAGTCGATTAAATAAATAAATAAATAAATGATATAACTACGACCAAAACGTATCGATTTATACCATCGTCATTTCCCGAATTGTGAAATCTACTTTTCTATTGTTATATTATTCCCTTTAACATTTATTACGCCATTTTTTATGCAATTTTATTGTCTTTATGTTACTTTGTAACTTATCGTGACAATTTATAGTTTTTCTCAGTTCTAAATGTCTTTTTAATTAATAAGAATTAATTTTTAATTTAATATTTTTAAGTATAAAAGTGTTTTAAATGCGTGTAGATAAATTTACAAAAGCATTGTTCATAAAAATGTAGAGCTACAGAATATTTGAGGTTGAATTAAAATTTCACTGTTGAGAACGATTTTGATTAAACATCGATTAACTTAATCTGATGATTAATTTGTCAAATAACATCTGTATTTTATTATAATGGATATAGAGAATTATTATAATCTCTTGCTCTTTATTCATATTTCAACATATGGAAAAAAGGATTAATATCATCATTTTGAATTATCGAGTTTTCTCATTAAATAATTATTAGTTAAATATATATTATATACAATTTGTTTAATTCCTAATTAAATAATGTGTAATTTTGTATATATAATTGATTGTCGCATCTCTAATCGTTCTTAATTCCAACACAATAAATAACAAACAAAAATAAGTAGTTCTAGCCACGTTAATACAATATAGGGATCGTTTGATAAATTAATTAACCGACTAGCTAATCGGACTTTGATCGAGGTCGCTCAAAATTGTTTTATTTACACGCATTATTTTTGTCATTATATTTTTGTCCATTTAAATTTAAAAAAGACCAAGTTCTACGAGATGGCGCGAGATGAACTTCCTACGACCTCTCTGTGTGGATCAGTGATGTAACAGCAGTGCACGTAAACGGAGTTAACCTCTCTGGAAATATTCAGTTTGGAAAAGATCGGTGTTTATAAAATCCTGAGGCTCACGTAATCGAGACAATCATGGCGCGGTACGATATTCTTTTTATTACATTTATCAAATCCCGTACTGTACAATGTATAAATTATGTGACGATCCAAGAATGCGAGAACTCAGATGTTGACTGCATATATACATCAGTTTTCATCCACCAGGAACTTTGACGTGACGTTAAAACTTGAGAGATTCTCGGCTGTCGCAAAAGAATTTATCATGAAAAATCACGAAAAGCAGCCGGATCTCATTTGCATAAATTTCTTTGTTATTCAAAGTCATGTGATCAACATACAGAGTTCACGTATACTCAGCTTTTCTCTGTTGGTTATAAAAGAAGTGATATGAAAGATGCTCTTAGTCTCTATACAGTTGGCAGTAGCTTTAAATAATTTTTATTGCAATTTACCGCAATTTGTTGCACATTTGCTTCCTCAAGAGTGCCAGAGATCCCGGACACCAGTGCCACGCCGGCGGAGAGGCCCATGTCCATAAAGCGCCGCGTGGGACAGGAAAGGGAGCGAATGCTGGGGATGACGGACGAGGAGCGGGCGTGGAGGAAGAAGTGGCTGGACGCGCAGAAGCTCGCGCCCGAGGAGCCGGTGGTACCGAAGGGCTACTACGAACAGATGTACAACCCGATCAGGCGGCTCTACATGGCGCCTGGGAACAAATTCCAGAACATGCTGGAGCCGCTTATAGTAATAACGAGAGAGATTCAATTGATAATGTGCATGCGCTGAAGGCCCGGTTCCACAAATTAACTTTAATCTCGGTTTAATTTACTGTTTATCTCTTTCTAATGTCCATTTCTACCAAGGTAGATTAACTTTAATCCGGGTTTAACTTATTTTCTATCTTTTTCTACTTTTAAGAATTAGAACAAGATAAAAAGTAAATAAAACCAATGATTAAAGTTAATCTACATTGGTAGAAATGAACATAATTCTTAGATTAGAAGAAGGTAAAGCGAGTTAAACTTCGGTTTGAGATCGATTTAGCCATGAATTGTGAAACCGTGGGCCTAACAATAAGATGCAAAAGGATTAATGGTTTCCACTTCTTTACAGGGTTACGTACCGGCGTACGTAACGCGACGCGTTCTAACCAGAAGCATGATGGGCCTCTTTGCAGTCTATTGTTTCTATTATCATCTGAAGTACAACAAAATGGTAATCGTAACAAAGATATCTATTTTCAACATACCGAATGCACTACTTTATTAAGACACGCAGCGTATATTTTGTATACATATTATTTGGTTCCTTTGCACAGAACTGGACGAGGAATGGTGGATTCAAAATCACATTTTCCAGGCCGAGCATGTATCCCGACACTAAAGATTTAAGTGTCTTGTACAAAACGAAGGGTAATCAATTCTATGTAAACGATTTCGACAAGTCTCCTATATAAATATAAAAAATGCGCTACTTATACCTTGTATAGTTACATTTAACATCGTTAAACTTCACTAAAGAGTAAGAAACATGATGTTGCTAATAAATGTCATTAGTAATAAATTATTAATGTTAAATCTCTTTTATGAGACGTGTACTCTTGAAGCTCCTCTTTATTTTTCAAAGAAGCAATCTAACACGAGTATTAAGATTTTTTTAAATTCAAGCTACTTTACATACTTGTCATTATTCTTCAATTACCCCTGGGCCCAGTTGATAGCAAAACGAAAATTTGCCTGTGGCCGGCCAGAGAAGAGGTTAATAATTCTATCCATCTTAACGAAATACAGATGTTATTTAAGTTAATCATTAAGTTAATCAAAGTTTGATCAAAAATCGTTCTCGACAGTGTAATTTTAATTCAACTTCAAATATTCTGAAACTACATTTTTATGAACAATGCCTTCGTAAATCTATCTGCACGTATTTTATACTACTAGAAATATTAAATTAAAAATTAATTAAAAAGACATTTAGAGTTGGGATTAACTGACCGTCTGTAATACCACCTCGTCGGTGGATGTAGCTACGTAGTACTCATTAAAAAAATGGATGTACTGGCGCTAGGTGAGGTTCCACATGAAATAAAAGACCGGGATGGTCGGCAATTGGTCGCTCCCATTCTCTCTGCTCACGTGTTTCTCTTGAGTGAGGTTATGTCATGCTGTTTCAGCGCAATATAAACACAACAAGTATTTTACATTCATGATCGCATTTTTGAGTTAGAATTGACGTTAGATTGACGAAGTAAATTTCTGCGAGATGGCCGAGACTCCTTTAAGTTTGGGCGAGAAGACGTTTATTATTCACGGAGTCGACGTGAGTATTTATTTGACACGATTGTCTGCATGTATGTACAATTGTTTCTGACGATCCCATAAAAACTTCCATACTCGCTAGCATTTACTTGTCACAAAACATTAATTTGATCTTTTAATAATTAGGTATATATTTCTGGCACTATTTTAGCTAATTTATTATAGATAAAAATTTATGCTCTATTTGAAGAACATTTTTCTGTTTACGTACACCCAAACAATTAAATCTGTTGAAAAAGAAAACAGATGCACTAAAGCATTTACTACAAATTTTCTCAATAAAATGCTAGCAGAAATATAACAGAATCTGTTAAAAGAATATAATGGCAGATTGGTTGTACAGGAACCAAGAGTTTGTTAGTTTATAATCATTCAAATGGAATACTTGATTTAAATGATCATGGTACAACAAGTTCTTGGCAATCTACTTAGATCTAGATTATGTGATAGGCCTTATTGATAAATCTATCAATTATGAGTTCCAGTAATTAAGACGATTTGCCAAACTGTCAAATTTATTCTGCTCAAATCTGTTAGTATACCGTTAACGTTTTGCTTACTCGGTATTACATTAATTGTAATACATACTAACAATTGATTTGTTAATTTCAGCTTGACTTGAGGAATGACGGTCGATCCAGATATCAGTACCGTCCCATCGAGATCGAGACCAGGTTGATGAAGCACGCGCATGGCTCAGCGAGACTACGGATAGGCAATATTACGGACGTACTAGTCGCCGTGAAGCTGGAGATTGATACACCGTACGCCGAAAGGCCGGATGAGGGCAAACTGGACTTCTTTGTGGACTGGTACGCGTGCATTTGTTAGGCTTGGACTTTCGATTACCTGTTGAATGTTATAAGTGATATTTTCGATTGCCTTTTCTTAGCTCTGCTAACGCTACACCGGCGTTCGAGGGCAAGGGCGGGGACGATTTGGCGACTGAGATCAGCAACGTCCTCTCCATGGCTTATCAGACACCGGACGCCTTCGATTTGCAACAGCTGTGTATAATACCTCATAAGAAGTGTTGGAAAATGTACGTGGACATTTTGGTAAGTAAGTAACATCGGGCGTAAGTAAAGTCGTGCTTAGAGCTCTCTGCCTCATCGCCCTTTACCTTCATCTTCACCTTCTCCTCGCCAGATCCTGCAGTGCGGCGGAAATTTGTTCGATGCTGTGGGCGCTGCGGTGAAGGCGGCGTTGTACAATACTGAAATCCCGAGGGTCATCACGGCAACGCTCGACGGTGGCGAGCCGGACATTCAAGTGTCGGACGATCCTTACGACTGTATCAAATTGGACGTTACGAATTATCCGTTGGTAGTGACAGTGTGCAAGGTATGTAATCTTGAGTCATTGTTGAAAAAAAAATAAGTTCGTATCAGGCTATATTTTTCTAGCATACATTTATCTAAGGAACGATAGGAAAACATTTATAAATTGCTTTAAATATTTCTTTAAAAAGACACGATTTCTGTCTTGTAATTTTTTATTATTTGCTTTGATTTTTATTTTATTTTACATTTTCGGCAATTAAGATTCAACGTTCAATTAATGAAGACGTTAATTGCTACGGTAAAAATAGTGAACGTTTCCCCTGACAGATCGGAGACAACTTCGTGATAGATCCAACGTCGGAAGAGGAGTCCTGCAGCATCGCTAGTATCCTCATGTCCGCGATGCCGAACGGCAAGGTGACGTCCGTGATCAAGCTGGGATACGGCAGCTTGCTGCCTGGCACCTTGATCAAGATGTTGCAGGTGATAACACAAGCTCCGTATATGTTGATTATCATACGCTACTGTTAAAAGCGTAGCTTTTAAAAAAAAATTTTTGTATGGAATTTGTCTTTGAATCTGGATCTATGGTTTTACAGGTTGGAAAGGATATCAGTCTCAGGCTAAACGAAGTTCTTATGAAAGGACTGGAAGAGGAAAATAAGCTCGGCCAAACGAAGCCCGTATTCGGCTTTCTCAGATAATAGACGCACGCGATAATGCTGTCATGGACTTCAGAAGATGCAAATATTTTTTGCGCAAAACTTCCCGCTATTTGGCTACTAATGTTACGGCACTATTAACGTTTCTCGCAATTAAACTCTCGCGGAGTGTTTCTGACACTTGCAAAGCTTTTAAGCTGCAATGAGAAGTTGAAAAATAAAGTTGCAGTAGCATACTTTTTACTACAGTGTAACAAACTCGGTTTAATTGTGTATGTGCGTGTGTGCAACTTTGCAAAATGTTTGGATTTAAAGATCATTCCTGATTTTGAAAGAAAATCCTCACAGGACGTTATGAGAGGTATGTGTTTATCTATAATTACAGATCAATGAAAATCAGTCAAATAAATGATACTAGAGTGTATAGGTTTCAATTATATACTATTATTTTTTTAATTCAATAATAATTGTCCCATCTCCTAATTCGGGCAAGTACATAAAAATCTCTTAAAACTTCGATAATTTCGGATTCTGAAGTTCAGCAGCGCTCATTTGTCGACTCTGTAACTTATTGTTAGTATGATGTTTTATTTATTTATTTTTTTTTATGTGGAAACCGACGTTGCGCTTCGCCTGGAGCGTGTAAAACAATTCGTTCTTTAACAAAGTTCATTAACGTCACCACTGTGGCCTCCGCTTGCTTTGATCTTATCTCGACAGGCGGATTATCAAGATGCTCGACAATCAAAATCGACAAATGACTCGCGTGCCACACGCGGCGCGGTGAAAGTCGGCTTGCCCAGCGGAATATACAGAAAGTAACGCGTTTTCTCCGTCAAGAATTAACATTGAGAAAAATAATTTCTTACGCGATTATTTTCAATAGCGCTCCTTTTGCTTTACAGCAGGATATTTCTTACGGTCGTATAAATATCCTCCATGAAGTCAGTTCGTTTATTATTATACTATAGGGCAGGGAAGCGGGGAAAATTCGCACGAAGCTCGAGCTGTGTGATAACGAAATCCGTGGTTTTCATTTCTTTCTCTCATTTTTTTTTTCAACGATCCTTAAATAGAGTGGCTATTACAATGATTATGTTGAAAGTAGTGCTGAAAGTAGTGAAAGATATCTTTTCTTTTAGTTTCTTATAAATATTCTGTTCTTATACACAGTAGCGTTTTTCTCTTCCTTTTACGGATTTGTTAATAGTTTGTACAGAGGTCCTAGCATAAGTAATTCTTACAAGATAATAGAATTGTTCTCTAGTTGTGTAATCGTGTGTGTAGTTACAAGTTCGTTAACGTATGCATATATATAAATATATACATAATATATATATATATATATATATATATATATATTTATATGTATGTATTTAATATCATTGTTGCTTTCGAGGAAAATCGGACTACCGATTTTAGCAGCGGTGACATCGTCGAGCGACATGTAGGAACCTCCCTTTCACACACACATTCTCTCCCTTTCTTTCTCTCGTAACTCTCGTTCGTAACTTGAAAACAATTGAACTTGACGAGGATCGCATTTCTGCATGGCCAACCAACGCGAGATCGCTTTCACGTGTGAAACAACGTTGGAGACGAATGCATTCGTTATTGCATCGCGCGGAGCATTTAAGTCGAAAACTCTGTTTTCCGTATGTAAATTATAAAATGTTGCTCAATTTTTACGAACAAGAGATCTTGAGTTTTTAAAGATTAGAAATCGACCTCGAAAGAATCTTTAATTTTCAATCTAAAATGAAAAAATAAGACATAACACAAATTTTATACATATATTAATTAATCGCGATTTAATGAAAGAAAAATCATTAATTTCTCTCAATTTTCAATTGCTTCTTGCAAATATTAAGTTAGATAAATAGAAATAAGAAAAAAACGAATGTTAAATCATTAAATATAATTAAAAACACGAATTCATAAAATGGATATTTTTTACGCTTGAAACAGTAATATTGAAATTTTTGCTCCTGAAAAATAATTGTTCGCTTAAAAAATGACTCAAATGCGTCGCTTTAAGCATCCAAACTCGCGGCTTGCAAGCACAGCTTGCGCGTTAGATCCAAGATCTACAACAGAGAGGAGCCATTTGCGAGAGGCCATGCATTTATACGCACATGGATGTATCGGTGGAAGATTCGTCTTCGAGATTATTACACTCTCAACGTCCCCTCGTCCTGTTTCCGTTACATTTTTACATACTACCGTCGAAGCTTATTTAATAAGTAACAAATAAGGATCGCGCGCGATAGCGTGGAACACTATATCTCTCGCCCCCCCGTTCTCCTTTCTAGTAACAAACTAAATCTTAAGCTACGGCTAAGTGAACTCGCGGATTACTATCATCGAGACGTTAACATACGTTGTGTCATTAACACGTTGATTCCAGGCGGGAGGAACGCAAAATACCCAGGAAGCAAGCTGATATTATTTGTCGTCATTTTGATGTCAAAATGATGTTGAATAACGTCAGCTTGTTTCCTGAATACTTTGCCGGATTAGAAAAGTTGTAAAGGCGATCGGATTCGCGGTTTAAAGAGCGCGATATTCCTCGGGAAAATATAAAGTAAGTCGAATTCCTTAATTACAGTAACGTGTCAGAGATTATCGCGATAATGCAACGTGGTAATCAACGTGTCAATCGTCTGCTATATAAATTTTAAGCTTAGACGAACCTAAATCTCGTATCTCTCAAAAAAAGCAATTGCTTTTGCGTCGGTCGCTTTACGAAGATCAATCGCTATATTCTAAAGTCGCAATTTATCAACGATTATTATACGAAATTATCAACGTGTGGGTAATTGCGTATATTCTTCGAGGAGGAAATATATTATAAGCATAAATCTCAAAAATCAGTTTATCGGTTTTCCTTAAGTACGTTAAAAGTTACATTATTTATGAATTAATATAATCCGCGCGCGCATGTACATGAATATATATGAATGTATATTCGTACATGTGTGTGTATTGGGTGTGTGCCTCGGATGCGCACTCTCGACGACATTGAAAATGCAGTCAGATTTTTTTAAGTTGACTGAACTTTGGTCTCATTTTTTGATTTGCAGCATTAAATAATTTTGGCGCGACTGGGCTCCTAAATAAATAATCTCTCTGTTAAAATTCACCGAACGTCGGCCGTGCAACACGCGATTTATGTATATTTATTTTAAGGTATGTACATTCACGAAGCCTAATTCGCCAAAATTCTTTAACTTTTTCGACGACACATAATTGCATAGTTAACGAGTTTTTCGTGGGTTAATGAGGTTTCAGATGAGGTACGCGACTTCTAAGATATATCCTCTATTATAGATACAAGAGAGTAAACCCATTTTAATGAATGCTGTAAAATATTTCCTAGGTCAAGCGAAATGCATGCATCTGTACTTTATTTGCTTCGACAGGGAGTAATAACTATGCGGAGAAAAAGAAAAAATAAGTGTCCCGATTATTTAACGCGAAATATTTCACTGCATTAATTACAACGGGACGACTTCTTTTTTTTATTTATGATAGGTAATTGTAATATATATATATATATATCTATTTTATATTTGTAATTGTATTTATATATATATATATATGTATATATATAGGTACTTATATTCGCATTTGTCTTTGTATTTATATATTTATGTTCATATGTATATTCGTATTTATATTCATATATTCATATGTTCATATTTATAGTTGCATTTATGTTCATATTTATATTCGCATTTTATATATCCATATTTTTTATTTATAATTACTTGTACATACATACACATATATACATATATATGTATATATATGTGTGTATATGTGTAATTTGCTATGTGTATCCAGCAATGCGTCTGGCTTTTCGAGACGTAGAGATATCTCTCGTGTATCTCCGTCGCGCGTAGATCGTGGAAAACTGAACGACTGAAGAATCGGGTGCGTTAAAAACTACTTTGACCTTTTTGTGCGCATCTAATGGGGAAAGTAATCGGAAACATAAAAAAAAGACGGCGGATAGCGGTGGAGAACGACTATTCGAAAAAGTGCAGCTCGAAAGCCAAGTGGTAAACTAACGAAAAAAAAAAAGAAAAAAACGAGAATCGATTCACACTCGTTCGACAGCTGTGAATAATCGTGTACTTTATTTATTTAACGGTTAATTAGACTTTCGCAAGTTCAAAATCCACAATTTTTTAAATTCTTCCCACACTCATTTACCTCTATTTTAATTTTAATGTTCGTATGATTATTGTATATAAGGTATCGCTCTCTCTCTCTCTCTTCACACTCGGTTAATTGATTGCACCGTCGTGAGAAACAAATTCCTCATTTTTTTCCCGGGTTTTTTTCCCCCTTTTCTTCCCCTCACTCTTCATTAATTAACTTCTTATTCTTGCACTCGGCGAAACGATAATTGCATATAACTTCCCTAAAATTCACCACACTTTAACCGCAATAAATAATACGTGTTTCATTTTACTCGCTGCTTAATTAATTAAGTAGTTTTACAATCGACGACACCTCTCGCCGCACATCCCCTCGTCGATATCTCCCGTAAAATTAGATAACAACGGATGAGACCTCTGAGAGAGCTATAGACGAACGAATTCTCAGTAATCGCACAGCGTGGTCGTACTCCACATATGTCCGGCACATCGCATAAATTATCTCGCTGCCGCGCGCGTTCGCTCTTTTTTTTTTAAACGAGCCTTCTTACAGCTCTCTATACGGCCCTTTCTTCGCAATACTCACGTTTTCTTTCCGACCTCGTTAAACGAGCAAGCAACTCGGAACTGGATTAATCTCGAGTTCCGCCTCGAGATCGAAGCCGCTATAATTAACTGGTAGGTGCGTATGTACATCTGTACATGTGCATATATAGACACGGGCGTGGGTATATACACGGAGAGAATTTTTTTTTTAATTTACCCTGCAAATCATGTTAATTGTGGGGCAATATAGTATTTAGGCAAATTTTACTGTGCACTACAATAGATCGGAAGAGCACACGTC